TCGACGCTGACTCGGCTCCGATAAGTGCGCTTTATACCGAGTTGAAACGCAGGTCAAATGTCACAGGAACACCTGTGCGTCTGGCATACTTTTGCCGGGCGAGTCGCGCGGCCGATGACTGCGAATGAAGCCATTGTTCCGGCTCGAAAGCGTTTCGATTGTTGATCAAGCGAGAGATATCACGGCCCTTTGACGCGCAATCAGCGAGAGGAGAAAAGCCAATGAGAGCCGGCGGGGTCTCTCAGTTGCGTAAGCTGCTGCTACTCTGCGAGAATAAAGAAACGACAAAAATATAAGCGAAAGAAATTGAGAGGAATGAAGTCCATCAGAATTTCAAGCAACAGGAGCGGAGAAGCCAACGCGAGCCATCTAGGTTGCGAAATCTACTTGCAATTAGTGAGAATGAAAGCAACGGAAAGACATGAAATTCGGTGGAAGCTTTCCGCAGCAAGAAGAAGAATACCAATAAGAGGCAAAATTTCAGTCGCGCGATCTACCGAGCAAAGATGGAAATTGATAGCGAAAACAAGCGAGACAAATCGAGATGAGTGAAATTCATCGGGATTTCCTCGATGAGAGATGAATGCAAACGAAACAAAAAGAAACGAATGTCGATCTTCACCGTCGCAATCGCTTCTCCACTTCATCTTCTCCTCGCGATCACGCGCGAGTTTCGCAAGTGAGATCTTGCTCTTACCGGCTTCTCTCTTCTCGCCGGGATTCTCAACGGGCCGCAGGAAGACAACATGCACCGCAGGACTTCGCACCTTACACAGGACGCGAGTGGGCCTCGTGTCGCGCGTCGGCACCACGCTGCGGAGAAATCGCGGCGTGATCGATGAGTCATGGCGGCTCCGAACGTGATTACGACGACGCACGTACGCGCGCACGCACCATAGACGGCCGCCTACGCGCGTCAGGTATCCGGCGAAGGAAGTCGAAGGAAGGCGCGGTGTCGCAAACGCGTCGACGCGCGTCTCTGCGCGTCGTCTTCTCGCGATGCGTCACCGGCCGCGTCTATTCCCCGCGAGCGGGCAACGGGCCCTTTTTAGAGCTCCGCGAGCATATTAAATGCGTCGGTCGCTGATTCATTAAAAAAAGCGTCGCGATAAGGCCGCTTTGGATCGCCGCCAAGACCGATTTACCGGGCTCGTGCTTAGAAAGCGCGCGCTCGGAGCCGTCGGTGGAAATAGAATCTCCTCGCCGCTCTTCCCCGCGGAAATTTATGCGCGCTGGCACGCCGCGTAATCCGTCGCGCGATTCGCGCCGCGTCTATGTATTAATTAGAGAAAGAGAGAGAGAGAGAGAGAGAGAGAGGGAGAGAGAGGAGGGAGGAGATATAATCGTATAATCGCAAGTTTGCTATTCCGTGAACGAGCGATTTTTTATCATTGGGTTGGCAACTAAGTGATTGCGGATTTTAAATAAGAATGAAAATTCAAAATTTTAAATTTGCTTTTTTAAATTTTGTTCAATGCATGTATGCGATACATTGAGTTTCTCTGTAATATCACGTGTTGTGCTATGACGATCTGAATCGATAATGGCCTTGATATGGGTCTCATCGACTTCAACTGGACAGCCAGATCGTTGAGCATTTTTCAATGAAAAATCACCAGAACGAAATCTGGCAAGCCAATTTTGACACTGCCTTTCTTTCAAGGCTTCATTCCCATATACGGCACATAACCACTTGTGTGCTTGCGATGCGTTCTTGCCTTTTCGGAAATAATACAATAAAATATGTCTGAAGTGCACGTCTTGCTCTTCCATTTTTAAATTGGGATAAAAACAAAACTAAAGAACTAATCGATATAATTTTTGTACCAAATGAAAGGTAGAAGTCCAAACAATAAGAAAAAAATATAGGTTAGGTACTTTGAACACGTTAACGAAACAAAAGAAAGTGTAAAATCCATCTGTCGGCAAAATCCGCAATCACTTAGTTGCCAACCCAATACATATCGCGACGGCGACGCGGGCTTCTTCAAATCGCACGTGAAATCGGAAGCCGCTCGTACTTTGTCGATAGCGTCGACTCATTATTTTCAGTCGGCTACGTTTGAGAAAAATCGCGCGTCACCGCGGCTCGTTGTTTACAGCCCGGTCATTTACGAGCGGCACCTGGAATCCCATGACAGGCGTCTGTCATCGGAGCCGGCTAATCCGGCGGACGGAAATAGAAAAATGGCCGGCGCGCGCGATCAATCGGAGCGATGTGAAACTTTTATGCCGCGCTCGCGCGGCTCGCCTCAATTTCACTTTCGTTTCCCAGGAGAGAGAGAGAGAGGGGGGGGGGACGAATAAACCGAGGCGACGGGCCTCGGCCTCGGCGCTTCCCCGGACTTCTAACCGCTTCGGCGAATACAGCGGTCTCATAAATTTTAATCTAGCGCTAGCGGCTGTCATCTCTGTTTTTAGAAAATCAGACTAGCCAACGCGGCGCTCGCGCTCAACATCGCGCCCGTCATCGTTTAAAGTTCCCTTTTTATTTCCCGCAACGTCAAACCCAATATTTTTCTTTTATCAGCCCGTATCTCGCGCTTGCTTTCCTTGTGTCGTGCGCTGCGCGAAGAACATCGGTAACAAAGCATCCCCGCCGCCGCGCAAAATCGCTCGACACTGCGACGGACGCGCGTCCTCGTAGCGTATCCTTCCGCGTGCGGCGAATTATTAAACGCTCCTTTGTACGCGGCGTGTGCGTCTCGGCCGAAATCTCAAAAGACGATATCGCGGGAAATATGCGCGGGGGCGGAGGGCGGCATTGAATCAAAGCTTCTATCTTCGCGATCAGGCACGCGACTCGACTCGGCTCGCCGCGAAAGGAAAGCCGGCAGTCCTCTCCAGCCGCGACACAAACGCTCCTCTCCTCCTTCGTCTTCGACGATTCTGGATTCGATTTTTCCGCTCTGTTTTTAATAGCGCGCACGCCCCGCCGGATGAAGAAGCGCGGCGGCTCTCGAGAGGATCTCGAGAGCGCGAGTTTGTCGCGAGCGCGCCTCGCGAGAAAGAGTAAGAGTGCGCTGAGAGAGGAGACAAGGATCTCCCGCGACTCATCGCGATCTCCTTCGATACAAGGGAATAAAGGGACCGTTTAAAGGAGCAAGACGTTTGTAAGGATTGCTCCGCCGGCTTGGATAAATCCGCGCGCCAGCAGCGCACAATAAAACACATTTATCCTTGCCCGAGGAAAAATTTGTGGAAATTGGATTTGAACGCCGCTCGCAATTTCCATCCGCTTTGGGAAACACGTTTAATTTTTGCAGCCCGCTTCTCTTCCCCCTTCCCTTCTTGTTTCGCGCGAGTCGACAAGTAAAAATGGCCAGCGCGATTTTCCGCCGGCCTTACGCATCCCCGGCGCAGATTATTCCCGTAATCTCGCGCCGCTGCGAAACAAATGAAAATCGCGGTCGGCGCGCGCTGGCATTTTTTCAGCCGCCGCGGATTAAAATCGCGAGTCGCGTCAGCGGCGTTTCTTTCGATTCGATTGCCGGCCGGCGGCCCAATCTGTCATCAAGGACAAAAATTGCCCATCTTTATGGCCGCCTGTAGCAGTCGATTGCTGGCCGCGCGTCCGCGGCGCGGCCACTCTATCGGAATCTCGCGATCGTAAATCAGCCGGAGAACGCGGCGGCAGCGGCAATTTATCTGTTTCCACGTATTGCGCTGCCTTGCCGAAAGATTCGCTCGGTGCTCGACGATTAATATAAACACCGCGTTGTCTGTATTTTACGAGGGCACGCGCCCGCTCAGGCGGAAGGTTACCTGCCGCGCTGTGTGTGTGCGTCCGATCGAGCAATCGACGAAACAAATTCGGCTTATCATCCGCCGGGGAAATGAAAGGCACACGCGAGCGTGAAATGAATATCCGCGCTTTTGGCCGTACGTTAACAAATCGAACGAACGGCCCGGGCCATGATTAGGGGTGCCGACTGTCCGGTTTTGGGTTGCGGACTGTCAGGTTTTTAGAAGTCTTGTCTCCGGTGTCTGGTTAATAAGTCAAACCGAACGTCATATGTCCGATTTTTAAGTTATATCCAATCAATGGAATGAGAGTTCAGATTTTATCAACGTTTTTCCGTTTCAAGCGCCTACAAACGATCCAGCGCCACGAAAAGCCATTTAAGAGATGATCTGCCGATCCATCATTCCATACAGTGTATATATTACAAAAGTAATAGTTTATTATTTTATTCAATCAAATCTTGTTTATAAAATTGCTTGGAAATTAATATTGTATATAAATTCTTGTCATATTTTGTATTTAATGTAACGTTATGATTATTATTTCTGTCCGGTTTAGTCCGGTTTGGGTTTGTTACCCAGAAGAAGAAATGTCCGGTAATTTTAACTGTTAGATTTGGCAACCCTAGCCATGATACGAGTATCGACCGTTGCGGTAGCTGTAATTGTGACTCGAAAAGTATTTATCCTGCCTACGAAAGGACACGTCGACTCATTTGGTCGTCTCTTTCTCGCGACAAGTCGCGAATCCTCGCCAGCCCATGTCAGAAGGACACTCGAGGTCCTCAAGTCGCAAAGCGAGATGCGTCATTGATATCGCGGCATGCAAAGCATCGAGTAAACATTTACATGGCGTCACGGCGCTCGCGAGTTCGCCTGAAGCCGGCTGAAGGGCACGTGATCTCGGGAACAATAACACAATGATATATATAAACACCGGCCACCTTGAGTACCACCATAACGGTGTTCGACGCGACGGAAGACAGATCGGGAGACGTCGCGCGCGAGATTCCCGATCTTCCCGACCACGCGACCCGGGTAGTCGCGGGACGTGGTGGTGTACTCGCGTGTGCATACCGTGGTAGCTGCCATCATGTTGCAGTGGCGGTATCCTGGGCTCTTATGGGTAACTACCACTTTGCATTTTGATTAGTTCGGAAGAGGAATGGCCGGAATGGTCGAGTCCTTACTCGATATCCTCGGCACCAGCGCCTTTCTTCGAGCTAGCTAACCGGGAAGTTTGCTTTCTGTTTCAGATCTTACAAGGTCACCCGACCGGCGGGCGAGCGGACGCTGCACCGGAGGATCCGGTTCGGGCTAAGCGGGGTCGACTCGAGGGTGAGTTCACCGACTTATTGTATTCTCACGACGAACTCTTTGCGACCGAACAAGTGCGACGTTATTTATTTCCTACCGTCAGGTAGGAAATAAATAACTCGTTGAGTCGCAAGGAGGTTGATGACACGTGTTTATGCGTGTTTTTCTCATTACGACGTTAAACATCGCATCTGACCAGGGAAATTGTTTTTCTTCCAGGACGCGAGCGACCTTGACTTCTAGCAACATTTTGGTGAGTCAGAAATGAGCATTTTTATAGGTGGTGGATTTTCCGCGTTTATAGTCTCGACGAAGTCAGTGCGATTTACATGCATCGAGAGAAAAGAGTTGTAATATTTCCGACTTTTTTGTAGCGAAGCGATTATAGTCGCGTGGCCAGATCGATTAGCACGCACTACCGAAATATCTCGGAAATCATGATCGTATATCCATATTGTTGTTACTACTTTGTTCGCGCTGGTATAAGAAACAATACGGTTGGCGCAGATAACATTTTTTCTCTCTGTGTAACGTGTAGATTTTGGGGCTTGCGTGTTTGTGTTTGTCACCATCAATATACACTGCTCGAAACAATCACGAGATCGTTTTCTTAAATGCTCGTATTATTTAGCAAAATTAACGTAACGTGAATTAATTTAGCAAATTTAATGTAACGTGAAATTAAATGCTTTTTTTAATATCTACGCTAAATATTTCTTTCTAATCGCTTATTTTGTTCGTACAAAAATTTTATATTTGTTGCATTTTGTTAAATATATACTATCACTCGACGGAATTGTGCATTCAATATGAACCCCGTGATTGTCCCCGAGCACCATAAAATGCGCATCAAGATTGCGATAATTTATTTCGCGACAAATAACGCGAACTGTCGCGAGGAATTTTGCGATCGTGAGATCTCGAAATTTTATATACGCACGCGATCGGTTATCACGTCGTTTCAGTCGAGATGAATTTCAAGCCGCTTGACATTTAATTTAAATCACCTTCGATCAAGGTCGGTAAACTCGCGACGCGTGCATTTATCCTTTCTTCCAAGGATTAATGTTTTCGTAGAACGAAAACTTCATGTTCGTCGTCAAAGATATACAATCGTCCGTGAAACGCGATATTTACCTTCTCTCTCGAATTTTTCCACGTCGCCTAAAGCGCCCGGGCTTTGATTCTCGATGATCTAGCAGAGTCTTTATCGCGTGTTCTCGTGTGCATTCTCGTTAAACGCCGAAAAATATTGCCGCGCTCGCGAGTGAAGTAAGTGAAGGACAATCGACGTGGGACACTGGCTGGACATTAAGGAGGCAGGACTGTGCGAAGGACAGCTGCGCGTCGAGGAACGTCAAGGCGCAGTGGTGAGCGTACCTTTATGACGTCCACAGGACGTCACATTTACGTAGTGCATGCTTGGACGTAAGTCGCACTGGTCTTCAACGAGAGAGAACGATATCTTTATTGCGCGCGTCGCGGACGCTGCAGTACAGCGTCCTATGTGATATGACTGTCCGATTGTCTCGAGCATCGCAAAGTGCTCATCAAAATATCAAATCATATGCTACCGCGTATGAGTGGTCCTCGCGAACACTCGACTTGCGACAAACTTTTACGATCACCGCGGCCATGCGATCTGTAAATGTTACATTCGCATGTATTAGATGATACCGCGTATAGCCACCGTTTCCAACAATTCCGCGGAACGATACGAACGATAGATGGAATGAAAGTTGTGTAAATATCTGAATATTTAATATATATATATATATAACACTTACTTATTATATGACATTTATACAAAATATAAATATAATTTATACACAAAACATCTATGAGAGAGCGTGGAGGCCGATTTTCATCCGGCTTGAGAATCGGCGAATTAACAATCGCCAATGGAATAATCACCGCGCGGAGCAAAGTTGAACAGCTCTTTCCGCGGTTTGTAACGCGGCTTCGAGCTCGCCGGGAGATAATCGCGTCGCGTTAAACTCGCGTTCACTCCCCTTTGCGATGAATCGCGGGTGCGTGTCTCCCATGGGATCTCTCAGGAATATCCCTGAATCGTGCGTGGCAAACAAACGCGGTCGCGGAACTTTCTCGTCATCTGTCAAACCCCGACGATGCGATATATCCCTTTGTGCAGGGGGGGAGGGATTACTCACGAAGGCGTTCCATAAGAAAGAAGAGAGAGGGGTCGACGGACGAGACGGCGGGCCGAAAAATTGTCATTTTTACATCGGCGCGATCGTCTGCTTGATCGACGAGCGACCGTTAAATATTGACGAGGTAGACGGTAGGTGCAAAAAGTAGCGGTTTCCGCGGGAAACGGAACGGGCTGGATACAAATGAGACTGGGGGGGATGAGCGGCGTTATCTCGCATCCTGCGGGAGCTATTCGTCCCGGGGCCGCCGCCCTTTCCTTTCTCCATCCTGTGCCATCGGCCCCGCTATCGCCACCTCCTGCTAGCGTCGCCCTCCTGCCGCACCCCCTGTATCCGCCCTTGATAAGAGAAACGCGAAACCCCCGAGAGCGAGACCGAGTCTTCGATAGCAATTCGCCGATTGTAATTGTCGCGATCTCCTGTCGAACGAACAAACGAACGAGCGAGCGAGCGAACGAACGAGCGAACGAGCGAACGAGCGAGCGGGCGTGAAAAGCGCTCGACGGAGAGAAGAAGGGAGGGAAAACAAAAGGAAAAGGATTCCAGAGCGGTTGCTCATCGCGACTTTTTCGACGCGAGAACGAGCGGTAGCGCGAGCGAATGAGTAACTTTTTAATATGTCACGCGAGAGTGAGCGCAAACTAAAATCCCGCGTTAATTCGTTCTTATTACGACGAGGCAAAGTGGCAGCGCGTCGTTCCCGCCGTTTTATTATTCTTAATAAAAGCGGCCCCGGCAGCAGATTAAATTTTCTTTGCGTTTTGCGAGGCGCCGCCGACTCGTCGTCGTGAAAGAGGAACGGACGCCGGTTAGGGCGGCGGGGAGGGAGGGAAAGCGGGAGTTATGAGAACCTCGCGCGAGAAAACTCACTGACGAAAGATGCGACCGGGCCGACATAATCATTGCATTTCAAAAGAAAGACAAGGCTCAATTACGACCAAAGACACCTCTTTATTAAACGGACTCCGCCCCCTCCCGCGGCTCCTCTCCGCCGCCGACGGCGCTGTCGCGTCGTGTTTTCTTAGGCGCTTCTGACGTTTCTCACAATGGCGTCGATAAAAAACGCGTCCTGCTTTTCGGATATCGTTGTCGCCATCGCGGAGGTTCGTCACCACATGTTTCAACGTTGACTCGTTTACCTCATCCGCCGAGAGCGCAACGTTCCTTTTCTCGTCGGGGAGGGAGGCTTAGCATTGTTCGGCGCGCGCGCGATGTGCGCGATCGGAGCGGCATTCTTCGGACGAGACGGAATTTGTCTGCTTCCGTCAAGAAAGAGAGAGAGAGAGAGAGGAGAGAGAGAGAGAGGAGAGAGAGAGAGAGAGAGAGAGAGAGAGAGAGAGAGAGAGAGAGAGAGAGAGAGGGACTTCGATATCTCGCGCTGTAACGACACGCGAGACGGTGGATATTGGAATCGTTTGTGTGAGGGGCAGGGAGGGGATCGGGGGCGGCGAGAACGCGCGCGGCAGATTACGGGATTGCGGCATGTCTGACCATACGTCGACTTTACTACTGCGGAGATGCGCCGGTGGTCTCGGGCGGCGCGCGCGGCGAGGAGGGGAAGTGAAAAATCTCTCCAGATTCCCTCGGGAATCGTCGGGGGTATCCTTATAAAACTGGCAGATTAGAGCGAAACGTGACGAGAGCGCGGAATCCGCTCCGAGTATTAAGCGTCCCGGCGGCGGCGGCGGAGGTGAAGCTGAGCGCATCGCGCGGTAGTCGTGTCTGCTGATAGACAGCGGCGGGATCAAACTGCGCGCGTCTCACGCTGAAACGGAGCGGACTTTATTTCGTCTTCAATATATATTCCGCGCGCGAGATATTTTCTTCGTCGCGCGCGTAAAACGCGCGTCGGAGTCTCGCGTTAGCGCGTAACATTCCGGCGGATTTGAATTTCTCTCCTAGCTAGGGCGACTTTAAACAAGATCAATTGCAGCAAAATGATTCCTTTTCTTTGCTGAGGGGCAGGTGGAGCAAATCGTTTTCGTTGTTAACGATACATCGGAGTACGATGATTTGACGTGCGCCATTGTGCTGCGCCTGCCGCGATTTAAGATAACTCGCGGTAACGTCTCGCGTTTGGCTAGGCTCTTAATTCTCGTAGCTTTGCTTCAACTTCTCCCTCGTGGCATTCTCACCTTTTTCTCTTTTCTTACTTTGGCGCTCGATGAATAACGTAAAATTTGTACGAATGAGCGTCGAGAGCTGCGGCGGTCGCCGAGGCGGTCGTCGATGTGAAGAGTCGCAAAGTATGGCGCAAAGGGAGACTATTGGAAAATGCTAATTCGTGATTGCAAAGTTTGCGATGTAAAACGAGTCGGACTGACAAGGAGATTAAAAATCGCTCGTATGACTCTGCGCACAGTTAATTCCTGATCGAGGAGAAGAGAAATAAATGGGAGAGAGAGAGAAAACCAGATACACGATCGATCGCTCTCGCTTCATGGCGAAGTAAGGGAGACGGAGACGAATAGCGGGCGCTGTAAAGGCCAAAAACAAATCACTCTGTCGGCGTTACATCGACAAACTTCCGTTCATCAGTATAAATTGTCCGATCCGCTGTTCTCGAGTGCTCCGCCGCAAAAGGGGAGGATCGGGTCGCGCGCAGCGATTTGGAGTTGAAAAAGGCCTCCGACCGCGTGTGTTCGGCGAAGCGCGCGATTACGATTAAGCGAAGAATACGGTAAAATCGGGCGCGATTTCGGCGAGCGTACGGTCACGCGAATGCCACCGACAAAGAGAGACAGAGAGAGGGACGACACGAAAAGCGACCGGCATTATCCGTCGAAAATTAGCCCCGTGCATTCAATACGCGCGTATTGGTATTATTATTACTAGTATTATTATTATCGTGTTATTATGTATCGTTAATACTATTATTAGTATTATTATTATTATTATTATTATTGTATAGGCGAATATTCAATGCCGTCATACAAGCATTGTGCATGAGGTATCAAACAGCGCGGCGCGGCGCGGCGCGCGACGATAAAGTACGGCCTCGTTAACGTTTCACGATGGCGCGCGGTTTTAACGCGCGGCGCGCTGTTTGCATCCGCCGTGCGTAATTAAAATCGGCCGCGTGTGACCGGATCGCGCGCAGCCTGCGAACTCGTGCACGTCGTCCATGATGATTTGTCCCTCCGCGCGCGCGCACGCGCCGCCCTGCGCTCTCTTATCGCGCCCGATATTATTATTCAGCGCCTGACTAAATACGTTCCTTACTTAACATAGTGATAAATCACCGGTCGCGTGAGGCGAGTCGCGGCAGAGACCGCCGTGACGAAAAAGCTGCTGAATATTCGCGCTCGCGGAAATAGGAGGCTGCCCTCCTCTTCCGCCCGCCCTGCGCCGGAGGGGAAGAATATTGCGGCAAAGCGCGGGATCGCCGCTGTAAGATACTCGGGAGAACGAGCAGGGCCGTACAAATGGTTCGCTAAATCCCTCCGTCGCTGAAAGTCGTGAAAGAGGAGGAAAAAGGCGCGGCAGGGAGGGGAGGGAGGGAGGGAGGAAAGGAAGCATGCGAGCCCATTAGCGCCGAAATGTGAACTTCGCGAAGACACTCACCCTTCCTCTCGCCGAAGAAGTCCGCGCGGCCGCATGTCGCGCACAGCGCGACGAGAATCACCAGCGACGATCTGAAAGCAATTAATACAATATATTTGTCACGTGAATAATCGCGAGATATATTACGCTCGTAAGAGGGAGAGGGTAATAATAACGCGCGTGAGAGAAAAAAGATCAAAGTCCAAGGAGCGAGCCAAACGCGTCCAGAAGCGCCTTTGCTTCGTTCATTGTTCGCGTTTCCTCCCCCGTCGGCGCGGTCGTCGGCAAGTGCGACGAAATGGCGGAAACGGCCAGGGCGATGCGGAAGTGACGAATCGAAGCTCGGAGGAGCTCGAATCGAGGATCGAACGTCAGGACTCGTTCGGTGTTATTTAAGAGAGTTTGCGCGCGAGGCGCGCGGCGCTCTCAACAGTCGCGGTGTTTTACCCCGTCGGTGTTAATTGCGAAACGAAAACATGCGTCGCTCCGCGGGGGCGGGAAGGGGAAATGGCAGGACGAGAGAGAGAGAGAGAGAGAGAGAGAGAGAAGCACACGTCGCGAGAAAATGTTCTCGATTAACCGGGAGACGAGTGACGGCGCGCGCATTCCGGCGGTTAATTGCTTCGTTATTAGTGCTATCGTCGAAGGTACGACGGCCTGGCAACTAATACTAATTAAATAGGGATGGGAAACGAGAGGGACGGAAGTAGAGGGAGGACGAAGACGCGTCGAGAACAAAGGCGGCGAAGAGGAGGAGGGAGATAGTTCGCCGCTAAAAGGGATAAGACCCGGTGCTAGAAAAGCTACGTGATCCCGCGGAAGAAAGGCAATGAAATTAACGTTAGAGCGATTCGAAATAACAGCGTCGCCCTCTTCTCCGCCCCCGGGCGGCGGGGAGGAGGGGCGAGGAAGAACAATGGAGACGCACCTGCTGCGCTATAACGGAGCCGCGAGGCGGCGGCGCTGTGGATCAGGAAAAGTGCTTCTCGCTATTATGCCCGGGCTTTACTTTGACACCCGCGCGCTTTTGTAAGCGGGGCGGTTTTGCTGGGCGAAACGTGATCGCGACTCGGTCGCGATGAGTTAGTTAGTCTCGCGCTAAATACGACGGCGACCTAATCCAATATATCCGCGCGCGTGCCCGCGCGCTCGCTCGCGCGCATTGCCTTTAATCTAACTTTAAATTAACGCAAACGCTAATCACACCTAGCCCGCTCGTTGAAAAGTTCTCCCTCTCGTTCGCCGGTCGACGACAATTCGCGCGCGTGCGCACGCGAGCGCGTTCAGTCTTCCACGCTCGTGCAATCTCGTTATTTACAATGGAAGTATGTGCAATTTTCTATTTTTTTTTCTCTTTTTTTTTTATTGTCTCGACGTGCTCCTTTTCAGACGTCCGATGAAGGAAAGTTCGTCTCCGAGTAATTCTCAGGAGATAAGATCCCCGCTTAGTTTCTCTCTCATCGAGGACGCGCTTTGAGAAGGTCTTTAAGGCGTCTGCGATCGGCGTCGTTGTCTGAAAGAGCGAAATTCCCGAAGCCGGCACGAGTTTTGTCCATCTCGCAGAATTCTTTTCGTATAAAATTGCACCGCGGAGACTCCCGCGTGTCGATCGCGGAATCTATTGTTTCGCCGTGACGAACGATCACGCCAAGTGCTCTCGGACATCGCTCTCAGAGCGGACCAGAGCGTTTTCGCGCAATGGCCGGCCGATATACAGCCTGGAAATAATCGACGGACACTTTCTCCCGCGTTTCCGTTCACCTCGGGCTGCTTTTCTTTGCCTTCCTCTCGCCCGCCGCGTTGTTCCCAACGCGAAGCGGGAAAGATTGATTACGTACACGGCACGAACGCTTCCTCGCCGGTGTCGCGGTCCGCCATTTTCCCCAGTCACCGTGCGCTATTAAACCCTACGTCACTCGCGCCGGAAAGTGGCATGCGTTCATCCGACCATTTTTATTCACGTTGTTCAGTGCGGCGCGCGAAGGCATTTGCGTGGCCGCTGCGCGAGTCGCGCCGAGCGAGCGAGGCGCGGTACGCGCTATAAATCTCACCGCGGCCGCTCCGCGTTATTTCGCGCGCAGGCTAAGGTCAGTGGAGCACGGGGAAGTCGGTAAGTGTGACACGCGCCGGGTATTTGCATGCCCCGGCGCTTGCACAACACGGCCGTGGGCGCGCGTGGGCGTAGCCCGTCGATCGTGAATCACGATCGGGAGAATTCCGGCCGCCTGGGCAAGCGATCGCACGCGAGCTCGGCGATTTCGATGTCGATTTCCATTTTACAGGACCGCCGAGCCCGCCCAGCCCCTCGTCTCTCTCTCTCTCTCTCTCTCTCTCCGCGCGGCGCCGCGGCGCTCGCTCGCCTCGCATTCAACAGGCAAATGTTGCTGACGAACGATTGAATTATCGAGGCCGAGGAGGGGCCCGCCGCGATAACGGGGGGGATAATGTTGCCGCGACACGTAATCGATCGTACGACGGAATTGCGCCATTTTTTCCCCGCCACTTGTTACGGCCCTCTGCCCTTTGCGCCCTTTGCGCTCCGGCTGTGCTCGCGCGATGTTGGCGACTATCGCCGGGCTCGACGAAAAGTCAACGCGCTGCGAGTGATTGGTTATTTATTATTATTTGGTGAAAATCATGCCGCGGTTGTATCTCGCTTACGGTATTTTGGTCAGGCTGGTCTTCAGCACTGGGCGATGAGTCACTATAAGGATAACGAATTTCAATCTATGCTATTTAGGATCACAAATGTTTCGCTGTTCGGAAGCGACGATTTTTTACCATATTTACCTTTATTATTTATTATTATTTAATATTTACTTATTATTTTTGTTATTATTTAATTTTGCATGAAATTCAATGCAATTTTATCGTCACTGTCGACGCGCGATGATCGAAACAAACGCTAGCTTGTCCGAGCAGGTTGGCGCTCAGGAGCGTGCAGGATTCGATATCGATTTCGCCCGCGGAGATGGCAGAGGAACGAGACGCGCGGAGACGCGGTGACGCTCGTCGGTTGTAAAACTGATTAACCGATCCAATCGAGTGTCCATCTTTGACGTTTGACACAACTGAGGGAGGACGCGGTGTCTGCCGCGTCCCGATTATCCGGCGGTCCCGATTGCCCCTCGTAAGATCATTAAACATTTTTAAGGCCTCATACAAATTTCATGAGAGCCCGGCCTTTTGCACACAAGTTTAAGAGGTTACGCGGAGTTCCGTCAAAGTTTATGACGTTTTATAAGGTCTCCTGAAATTCCCGAGGTTTCGCAGGACGAAAGGATTTTACGGCGCGCGGTCCAACTTTTCGCAAGCCGGTAAATGTTGCATGTCTTCGCTAAGCTCCGATAAATGCGTCTTCCGACTGGTCTCCGAGACTTTTTCGAAACGGCTGGAACACGCCGTCGCGGTCGCTTTCTTGTGACGCGCCGTTTCTTCGGGAGTTTTCACTCGCAGCTTCGCTCTTATCCCCCCTCCTCGCGGTCGCCTGCCGATCTATCGCGCGGTTTCGATCGAAAGCACAGAGCGTCTATGAGCAGCGTTCATAGTTAGGTCTTATATTTCAGGTCGTCTCGATGTTATCTTTGGCTGCTATGTCATCAGCGAAACGATTCTCGCAGCACCCGAGGAGATGAACTTGAAACAATCTCAAGCATAAAATCAGAATGAATAGCGCTCTCTATACCCGCGCGGCAACTTGCGAGGCCAGTTTTCTTCCTTCCGAACCTTTTCGAACCTGGCAGCAGTCCTCAAGTTCATATCACCCGAGTCGAAATTTAGAGTCTGTTATAAGCCTATCAAATATTAAGCTGTACGCTTTTAACACTCTTTGTGCTACAAATTCTACCGTAGCGCTAGTAACGACGTCTTTTAGGTTCTGTTTAGCCTTATAATTCTATCGAAACTGATACTTGAGTTCTATTTAGTCTTATAATTCTATCGAAGCCGATAAATTCCAAAAGAAAAGCCGATTAAGCTCCGAACGATATTTCTTTATACTACTTTATAACTGCTCGTAACGATTCTGTTTATTCAACTTTATTCTTCTTATCCCAATAAAATGAACATATTTTGTAAAAATCTCTGCAAGATATGTTCATTTTATATGGACGAAAAGAATAAAGTTGAATGAACAAAGTTATATATATATATATATATTTATATATGTAATATATATATTATTATTACTGTGTATAAGTACAACAATGCACGTATAAAATTATCTATATAGGGGAAGAAAACAGTTTTCTTATTTCGAAAATTTTTATCTTTGACATTTGTCTTGTTATATAATTTTCATTTGTTTTATGCTCAAGTAAAACAAGTACAAGTTGATCCTCCAGGCACGGCATCTATTAGTCTAATCCTTTTTATAAACTGCTTATAGGCCATTGCAATTTATGTTCAATACGAGTTATATATTCCGTTCTGTGTAAAAATTTTTGAAAATAAACCATTTAAATTTTTATATTGTGATAATCGGAGAAAATGTGAAAATATCCCAATTTCATGACTTTATCGGGTGAGCGTTGTAATTAATGGATATTAACAAAAGAAAATTGTAATCCATATAAATTTTTGAATTTGTACATAGAACGGCCGTATGTTCTATGTTATAAGCATTTTTGGGAGATATGAAAAATTATTTAATATTCAGTTATCTCTTATATATTTTATTTAAGATTTTAAATACATATTAAATTATAGGAAGAATGTTAGAAACTTGAATTATCATATTTATTGATACAGCCATTCGGGAAGCGCGACACAGAATCTGGAGCCGTTTCAGAAGCTTTCAGTACGTCCTCCCTTAAACCTCACGTTGCTAAAAACGGCTTGTTGCTAAATACCGATTTGTAGCACTAAAAGATCACTACATCCTATATGACTCCAGATATGGAGATCCTTCAGTAGTCCTCTAAGTCGTACGGAATTTGCAGGCTCAAAGTAGAACTGAAATTTCGACTCGAGTATTCGCTCATCCGAATTTGAGTGCAAATTATCATTGCGTTGCTGCGCTTTCGTCGCGTGAAATCCTCGCATCGTCTGCTCGGGTCCGTTCACATTCTTCGAAAATTCGTTGAGATTCCTC